TAAAAACATCACAAGTAATCCACACCACTCCAGTTCATCAGTTAATGCCTTGTGAAGCAAAAAGCTGCACGCTTGTAAGAAACAAATCCATCATTAAGACGTTTTTAGGTTGTGACAGCAGATCTCAGGCTTTGTTTGAAATGAATGCGAGTTTATTCTGCCTTCAGAGAGATGTCAGAAGTCTCATGTTTAAGCACTGTGTAGTCAAAGTGTCCTGTGGGAAACTTTCTTAGGTTGAAATTGTGAAAATAAAACTGCATTTGAAAGCATAGTTCACACAAAAATTAAAACTCTGTCATTATTTTCTCACCCTCAAGTTGTTCTAAACCTGTGGGAGTTTCTTTCTTCTCCTGAACACAAAAGAAGATATTTTAAAGAATGTTAGTAACCAAACAGCCGACGGTAGCCATTGACTTCTATTGTATTTTTTCCCATACTATGGCAGTCAATGGCTACCGTCAACTGTTTATATGAGTAAATGACAGAATTTCAACTATTCCTTAACAACTGCTTTTCATTTCCCCCCCGCAAACTGTACATATTATAAACAGTGTTGTAACTTTTTCTTTTAAAGCTTTTTAAACAGACAAAGTGTGGAAATGCACTCATTTGTGTGCTCTCCTGAAATTTAAACCATAGAGCATGATGAACATGCATGACTTGATAAAAACGTACGCCTTCAATGCAGTGCAAGTATTTTTGAATAAAAGCATCTGCCAAATGCATAAATGTAAATACATGTGTCAGGTCACCTCTACTGTCAGCGTCCTGCAGGATTTCATGGCTTCTAGTCAGTACATTAATGCATGGCTTTATATAACCACGTCTCTCATGCTTGTTGCTATGGGATGCTCAAGAGCCGAAATGATTTATCAGGAAAAATGCCTACTCATCATTATACATTCATCCATCCTGCCTTTATAAACTAGACATGACTTTGAATCTGAATGAAATACTCAGTGTCTTCACACTTTACTGTATGTGCTCATCACCGACAAACATGATGCAGTTGCTGAAAGCAGACCTGAATATATATATGTGTGTGTAAAATTGCAGATTTAATTTAGCATCACGCGTGTGTTTGCAGGAGATTTGTATGCGTCCCCAGTTCATCATGGATGGAGCGACTCGTACCGACATCTGTCAGGGAGCTCTGGGTGAGTCTGTCTGCGTCATCATCAGGGACGAGGACTTTACCTCAAACAACCCTGATTTTACCACATTACAACCTCAACTAGCTGTTCATTTACTAGACCAGCGAACAACATACTGTCAAACAGATTTCAGTTTGAAGTCAAAAGGTGGGGTCGGTATAATTTTTTAAAGTTTTTTTTTTATTTGCACCAAGGCTGCATTAACTTGATCAAAAATACAGTAAAACAGTAGTACTGTGAAATATTATTGCAGTTTAAAGTAAGTGTTTTCTGTTTGAATATTTGTTAAAATGCAGTTTATTTCTGTGATGCGCAGCTGTATTTTCAGCATCATTCCTCCAGTCTTCAGTGTCACATGATCTTCAGAAATCATTCTAATATGCTGATTTGCTGCTCAAGAAACATTTATTATTATTATCAATGTTGAAAACAGTTGTGCTGCTTCATATTTTTGGGGAAACCAGGATACATTTTTTTTTAGGATTCTTTGATGAAATTAAAATGTAATGCATTCTTTGATTTCTTCTTCTTCTTCAAAAAAAAAAAAATACATAAAAATTGTAATGTATGAAATGGATGGATTTTTTTTTTTTTTTTTATATAATTTTTTTTTTTTTTACAGAGTATACATATTCATGCAGCACAATATTTGAAATAAGTGCATTTGAATGCACTAATTGAAATAAAATTAACTAAATTAAAGCATTAAAGCACTTGGAAACTGGATAGGAAAAAATTGTGCCATCTGGTGTGTCTCAAGACACATGAAGAGGAAAGCTATAGTAAAGTACGGTGATGTTTACTTTAAACAGCGCCTCGTTCATAATTAAAACTCTGACCCTGCGGTCATTAAATAAAGAGCTGCTGTCTCACAGCGGAGCCGCTCATGCATTATGATGACATCATAATAGGCTACAGCGTTTAAACATGCAAAACCGCGAGGGAGCGCTGTGATTGGTCAGGATGTGTGTGGCGGCCCAGTGACTGCTGTTGTGCTTTTAAAAGCTTTAGTAAACATGGAAACAAAATGACTGACTGTCCCTCTTTTGTATCTGGTTTGTTTGGGTCTGGTGGCTATTTTAAGTTATTTACACATTCTCTGCGATGTAATGCGTCAGATCATCTTCCAACAGCAGATGTGCTGTTTGGGGCAATAAATTGTCATGTTAAATGAATCCCAGAGACTGTGGCATGGAGATGTAAAAATGAATAAATACAGAGAGGAATGATGGATAGGTGTTTAATACACTTTAATACACTAAAAACCATTTGTTGGTGGACTCCTAGATGGTTAGACACAATTTACTACACATTTATACAGCATAAAGAGCTAATGTATGTTTAACTTTAAATGAAACAATGTTTACTTATACTATACTGGTTTAAATACACACATTTTAAATGATAATAATTTACAATATTTCAGTTTGTACTGACTTTTAATCAAATAAAGAAGTCTTTCTTACAATTTGACCTCAAATATATTGAATATGTTTTGTATCACATCTCTTGTCTGCACTAAATCTCATCTGTTCATTATCTGTGGTCTGTTTTCCTCAGGTGACTGTTGGTTGCTGGCAGCCATCGCGTCTCTGACTCTAAACGATGACCTCCTGCACCGCGTGGTGCCACATGGCCAGAGCTTTGACGGCGGATACGCAGGAATATTTCACTTTCAGGTGCGACAATGTGACAAACGCTAGAACACGAGCACAGATCTAGGTCTGACAGTGAGAGAGTATAGTTTTATACTACACTTTTAAAAATAAAGCTTTCAAAAGGGGTTTTTGCAGTGATGCTATAAATAACTATTTTTGGTTCCCCAGAGAAGCTTTCAGTGAACGGTTCCAAAAAGAACCATTTTTTGGCTCCCAAAGAAGCTTTCCATGAACGGGGTTCCAAGAAGAACCATTTTTGGTTCCCCAGAGAAGCTTTCAGTGAACGGTTCCAAAAAGAACCATTTTTGGCTCCCAAAGAAGCTTTCCATGAATGGGGTTCCAATAAGAACCATTTTTGGTTCCCCAGAGAAGCTTTCCTTGAACGGTTCCAAAAAGAACCATTTTTGGTTCCCCAGAGAAGCTTTCAGTGAACGGTTCCAAAAAGAACCATTTTTGGCTCGCCAAAAAAGCTTTCCGTGACCGGGTCCAAAAAGAACCATTTTTGGTTACCCAGAGAAGCTTTCCTTGAACGGTTCCAAAAAGAACAATTTTTGGATCCCCAGAGAAGCTTTCTGTGAATGGTTCCAAAAAGAACCATTTTTGGCTCGCCAAAAAAGCTTTCTGTGACCGGGTCCAAAAAGAACCATTTTTGGCTCCCCAAAGAAGCTTTCCATGAACGGGTTCCAAAAAAAAAAATTTTTGCTTTTCCAAAGAAGCTTTCCGTGAACGGGTTCCAAAAAGAACCATTTTTGGTTCCCCAGAGAAGCTTTCCCTGAACGGTTCGAAAAATAACCATTTTTGGTTCCCCAGAGAAGCTTTCCTTGAAGGGTTCCAAAAAGAACCATTTTTGGTTCCCCAGAGAAACTTTCCGTGAACGGTTCCAAAAATAACCATTTTTGATTCCCCAGAGAAGCTTTCCGTGAACAGTTCCAAAAAGAACCATTTTTGGCTCCCAAAGAAGCTTTCCATGAACGGTTTCCAAAAAAAAAATTTTTGGCTACCAAAGAAGCTTTCCATGAACGGGTTCCAAAAAGAACCATTTTTGGTTCCCCAAAGAAGCTTTCCGTGAACGGGTTCCAAAAAAAAACATTTTTGGTTCCCCAAAGAAGCTTTCAGGGAACGGTTCCAAAAAGAACCATTTTTGGTTCCCCAGAGAAGCTTTCCGTGAACGGGTTCCAAAAAGAACCATTTTTGGTTCCCCAGAGAAGCTTTCAGTGAACGGGTTCCAAAAAGAACCTTTTTGGTTCCCCAAAGAAGCTTTCCGTGAACGGTTCCCCAAAGAACCATTTTTGGCTCCCAAAGAAGCTTTCCATGAACGGGTTCCAAAAAAAAACATTTTTGGTTCCCCAAAGAAGCTTTCCGTGAACGGGTTCCAAAAAGAACCATTTTTGGTTGCCCAGAGAAGCTTTCAGTGAACGGGTTCCAAATATAACCATTTTTGACTCCCAAAGAAGCTTTCCGTGAACGGGTTCAAAAAAAGAACCATTTTTGGTTCCCCAAAAAAGAAAAATTTTTTGTTCCCCCAAAGAAGCTTTCATTGAACGGTTCCAAAAAGAACCATTTTTGGCTCCCCGAAGAAGCTTTCCTCAGTGTATTTTAAAAATCAAAAGAACCTTTTTCCAGTATAAAGAAGCCAAAGAAGCTTTCCGTGAACGGGTTCCAAAAAAAAACATTTTTGGTTCCCCAAAGAAGCTTTCCGTGAACGGGTTCCAAAAAAAAACATTTTTGGTTCCCCAAAGAAGCTTTCCGTGAACGGGTTCCAAAAAAAAACATTTTTGGTTCCCCAAAGAAGCTTTCCGTGAACGGGTTCCAAAAAAAACCATTTTTGGTTCCCCAAAGAAGCTTTCCGTGAACGGGTTCCAAAAAAAAACATTTTTGGTTCCCCAAAGAAGCTTTCAGGGAACGGTTCCAAAAAGAACCATTTTTGGTTCCCCAGAGAAGCTTTCCGTGAACGGGTTCCAAAAAGAACCATTTTTGGTTCCCCAGAGAAGCTTTCAGTGAACGGGTTCCAAATATAACCATTTTTGACTCCCAAAGAAGCTTTCCGTGAACGGGTTCAAAAAAGAACCATTTTTGGTTCCCCAAAAAAGAACAATTTTTTGTTCCCCCAAAGAAGCTTTCATTGAACGGTTCCAAAAAGAACCATTTTTGGCTCCCCGAAGAAGCTTTCCTCAGTGTATTTTAAAAATCAAAAGAACCTTTTTCCAGTATAAAGAAGCTTGGAAAGATTCCATGGATGTTAAAGGTTCTTCATGGAAGCATCGATTCCAATAAACTAAAGAAGCTTTATATTTAAGACTGATAAGGTTAAGATGCAGTTGTTTCTGTGCGATTTCACCAGTGCTCATTTGTAGCTGTAAACTATCCACGAACCTTGCTCTGTAAACACACTAGCATGAGCGGTGGTGTATAGGTATTATAAAATAATGAAGCGCTGCTTGGAACAGTGTAAGACAGTCTGATCAATCTGTTCCTTGTGTGTGTGTGTGTGTGTGTGTGTGTGTGTGTGTCAGTAGTGAATTATTGTGCTGATGTGTGTGTTTCTGACTCGGTGAGGTGAGGGGGAGGGCACTGCTGTTCAAATAATGCAGTGGCAGAGAGGATTATGGGTAATGAGGTGACATAGCATGCCAAGAATCCTTTCACAATTTGTACAGGCGGCAAATGACAACACAGTACATCTTATTTGAGAAATACCATGACACTGAATGATTCAAATATTCATTCATCTAGGTATTTCCATATTATATTGAATGAATATCATGTTGCTACTGTAGTACTATCTGAAATAGACACTTATTGGTACTTTTTATTTGGTACTTCTGTGCAGAATAATAAAAAAGAGAGCAATGCAGTCAGAAAGGCACAGAAGTTCATCAAACCCTCACACACACACATAGATGCTCCAAAAATACACACGTGCACACATTCTTCATGCATGGATGAGCGTGTGAACAAAGACACAGGATCCAAATGTGTTCACTAATGTGTCTCACTCACACACCGCGTTTGTGTTTTTGCTGCTAGTTCTGCGGTCTGGCTCATCTGGGACTCATTTAGATTAGAAGCAGAAATGTCCTGAGTGTGTGTAAAACCTAATTATGAGAGAGAGAGTAAATCACTGAGAGACCTTCACAGACTGGAGAAATGCTACAGTGCATTTTAAACAATTTACGAGTGAATCTCACATGTCTGGGTCATATTTAACTTCAAAATCATAAAGAAAATATATTTTGCGGAAAGACGATTAATGCTGTTATATGACCATTGTTTAACATTGTGACATGTGCTTTCATGACAATTATTTGCATTTTTACAACTTATTGTATGAAAGCATCAAATTCATGCTATCTTGAATGAATGACAATGTATTTTGTCGCAATAGTAAAATATATATTCTTTATGCAAAATGTACATTTATACATATATTTACTTTGTATGATATTTATTTTCTATAATATACAGTATATAGTATAATATATCATATTCATTTATATTTTGCATTGTCTTATTTTTATATTTTTTATTTTAATTTTAGCAATTTTTGATCAACTTTTTAAGTTTAGGTATTTTTTCTAAATTTATTTTGGCTTGTTTTCAATTGCGGAAAATATATATATTTTAAACTAGTTTTAGTTAACGATAACACTGGTAAGATGATAATGGTTTTGTATGTATTTATGGTTTTTATATATATATATATATATATATATAAATAATATCTTCTTATAAATATTCTAAATAGATAGAAGAGTTTGGAGATTCTTTATTTTGCGGTGAAAAATGATCCAGAAATGTTCTTGACAGGCTGTGTGACTTAATCTTGCCTCTATTATATAAATCAAATATCCTGGAAAGAAATTCCTCAGAGATGTGCAGCGTGATTCATGATTTTACTGTCTCTCAAATCCATCTTAAGCCTAATTTGAATGGCTCTTTACAGAAGTGCACATATAGGATGAGGGTGTGTATGTAGGGTGTGTGTGTGTGTGTTTGTTATATATGGTGGATAATGTGAACGGAAATTTGCAAGTACAGGCAATTCCTTCTGCACCAATAATTCCTGAAATATATAGCCGTGAATAATTAATGAGGGTTCACTAACAGTAATGCTGCAGTCATATCATCTCATCATTGTTACCATAATTAGAAGATGACAACTAAGAGATTGTGCTCCGTGATCCTCCTCTCAGAAAATTTCTACTTACAGGTTTGGAAGCTGTAATTACATGATCTGTGCGGAAGCCAGTTTGTTCAAACTGTTCTGCGTTTCTTTCCCTCTTTATGTCTTTCTGACAAACCCGGGAAGTATGGCTGTCAACATTTTTTTCGAATTTCGAATATTCGTCGAATAAAAATAAAAAAATCCACATTCGAATGCAAAAACGTTGCATTTTATACATACATCCATGGTGCTGTTTTTTTCTTATTGTTTAAGCAACTTTATTAATTATATATGGTTTATAAACCTAATTTTAAACATTATGCACTTTTTTTCCAAAGATAGTCGTTATTTTACTACGCTTTGAAGAAACGTGCATTAGTAATATTTTGCTCGATGTGGCCTCAGGAGAGAAGCCAAAAGCTTTTTTCCCCCAACTGAAATTATGCCTTTTAAATTAGAATATAATTCGAATTTTGATAATATTTAAGTAGAAAATTTGAATTTAGTTTTTCAGTCATTTTGACAGTCCTACCGGGAAGATTTTCACCACTAATGCAGCAAAACAAACAGCAGAGGATGCGCTTTATCTGTGTAGTTAAAGGAACACTCCACTAGTTTTGAAAATAGACTAATTTTCCAACTCCCCTAGAGTTAAACAGTTGAGTTTTACCGTTTTCTAATCCATTCAGCCAATCTCCGAGTTTGGCGGTAGCAATTTTAGCTGTAGCTTAGCATAGATCATTGAATCTGATTAGACCGTTAGCATCTCGCTCAAAAATGACCAAAGAATTTCGATATTTTTCCTATTTAAAACTTGACTCTTCTGTAGTTCTACCTCGAAATACACTATCTCGTGTACTAAGACCGACGGAAAATGAAAAGTTGGGATTTTCTAGGCCGATATGGCTAGGAACTATCCTCTCATTCCGGCGTAATAATCAAGGAACTTTGCTGCCATACCATGGGTTCCTAGCCATATCAGCCTAGAAAATTCCAACTTTTCATTTTCCATCTGTCTAAGTACACAATGTAACTACAGAAGAGTCAAGTTTTAAACAGGAAAAATATCGAAACTCTTTGGTCATTTTTGAGCGAGATGCTAACGGTCTAATCAGATTCAATGATCTATGCTAAGCTACAGCTAAAAGTGCTACCGCCAGACACGCAGATCGGCTGAATGGATTAGAAAATGGTAAAACTCAACTGTTTAACTCTAGGGGAGTTGGAAAATTAGTCTATTTCCAAAACTAGTGGAGTGTTCCTTTAATGTCTTATCTGTGCATTTGATCATTTATGTGCAGCCACCTTCAGAGCGCTGCAGTGATGTTCTACTTTTGTAGGTTCGCATCACCATTGGCTTTTGAATTACTGCGAAATAAACTCTGTCACCTACAAAAATGTATTGTGCTTACACATTTCGTTCATCATGATAATCTTCACAAATAATCACAACGTTTATGAAATTTAAAGCCTAAATACAACCAGCAGACGTAAAAAGCAAAGCGTGGGCTATAAATGACATCTACGTCATTAAGCTTTTGGAACCAGAAGTGCTAAAATGCAACTCATTTCTGAGTTTTGGCCATGCATGCATGCTATTCCTAAGAATCATACGAAGTATCTTTAACATAATAGAGTCGGGTTCAATTATCAGTTATTGTAGAGTATCTCCATGCTAATGGATATTTAACAAGTGTTATTGTAATTTACAAATGGGATTATTGACTGATTAAGGAGCAGAAAGACAGCTGTTTTTGGGAGATATGCTGTTTGTGTATGTGTGCGCCACCTGCTGGACATACACTCTTAAAACATAAACATTTCTAAAGTTGGAATGGTTCTTCAGTGGCATCACTGCAAAAATCCTCTTTTGCAACCTTTATTTTATTTTCCAGAGTGTGTGGTTGGTTTTTCGTGGACCCATCAATGCCAGTAAAGCAGCTTTATTTTTAGGAGTGTATCTGAATCTCTCTGTCTGTAGTTCTGGCAGTTCGGCGAGTGGGTGGACGTGGTGATTGACGACCGGTTGCCCGTGAAGGACGGGAAGCTGTTGTTCGTTCACTCGGCGGAGGGTGGAGAGTTCTGGAGCGCTCTGCTGGAGAAGGCCTACGCCAAGTACGATCATCCTCAACTGTACATGCGAATCAAATACAGGTTATCTGCACTTCTTTACTCTATTTATTGCCTTGTTGGTCAGGCTGAACGGCTGTTATGAGGCTCTGTCGGGCGGCAGCACGTCTGAGGGCTTTGAGGAAAAGTGTCCTCCTCAGTGTCTCTACATGCTCAACTTCTTTCGTGGTGCTGATCTCTTCAGCATCATCGGCCGCGCCATCGAGAGAGGATCGCTGCTGGGCTGCTCTATAGATGTGAGCGCCGATTCTTGCTTTTCACACTGTGCTTAACTCAGGGTTACAGTCAGGTGGAGACGTTTGAAGGTGGATTAGTTAGCTTTTAACCTTTAAATTATGAAGGATTTGAAGCCTGCAACCCTGAACTGCAGTGCCAAACATGTGTTATGTGCAACACTGAGGCGCTAGAATGTTCTTCAACAGACAACCAATTAGAAGCAGCCTTATTAAATATTCATGAGCTTTGTACAGTCACAGAAACTTTAATGGGTTGTATTTAGTTTCTGAGGAAAACCGTAAAAATTTTGTGCAGTAATGATAAGCTGTTTTTTTTTTTTTTGCTTTGTTTTTGCAGAATTACATGGACAAACTGTAAACAGATCACTTATTTTACTTGTATAAAAAAAGAAAAGCTAAATACCTACAAATGATAATTAATTACTAACCCAGGGTTTGGAAGGTGTGAAAACCTTGTTCTGTTCTTCATTGACATTGCTTTGAATGCATTTTTGTAGTAAAAGATTAGACACACTTTAACAAACAAAAAAAGTGAAAGTGACATGACATGTGGCCAAGTATGGCCTAGTTACCCATACTAGGAATTAGTGCTCTGCATTTAACCCACACACACAGCAGTGAACACACACACACCGTGAACACACACCCGGAGCAATGGGCAGTGCTGCGGTGCCCGGGGAGCAGTTGGGGGTTCGGTGCCTTGCTCAAGGGCACCTCAGTCGTGGTATTGAAGGTGGAAGAGAGCGCTGTACATTCACTCCCCCCACCTACAATCCCTGCCGGACTGGAGACTCGAACTCGCAACCTTTGGGTTACGAGTCCGACTCTCTAACCATTAGGCCACGACTTCCCTTTGGCATCTGCCAAACAAGCAAATGTTGTAAGAATCAGTGTTATTTTTAGTATAATAAAATGTACAGTTTGAATTGGCTTTTATGTTTGCATATTTTCAGTTTCATTTAGTAATTTTATGTGCTTTTGTCATTTTTTTCTTTATTTTATTTTACATTTCCAATGAGGTTTGTTTTTAAGTTTTAGTTGGTTTGGTTTATTTATTTAGGTGCAAAGGCAACATTTCTATTTTTTTCTCTTAGAGTTAAAATTTTTCATCTAATATTTAATATTATCATTAGATGTTATCAGTGTTATATAATATTATCAATATGATCAAAAATGACTTATTATAGTTTTAATTTTTGTTTGTGATAACATGATGATTTGTGCTTTTTTTGCCGTTTTTTTAATTCTAATTTTTTAAATATTTCTAGTTATCTTTTCTTTTTTATTCATTTAGTTTTGGTCATTTTAGTGCTTCAACTTAAACCCAAGTTAATTGCCAAGGCAACATTTATATTTTATATTTATATTTTATCTCCGGTTTATTTCAGTTATCAAAAATAAATTTCAGTAGCTTTGCTCATCATATTAGTTATTAACCTGTTTGTATTGGTGACGGTGATCAATATCAGTGTCTGACTGCATTATGCATCTTTTTGTCCTCAAGATCACCAGTAAGTTTGACCAGGAGGCGGTGACCTTCAAGAAGCTGGTCAAAGGTCACGCATACTCCGTGACCGCAGTGGAAGAGGTGAGCCTTAAACACAAAGACATACAAAAACACTTACTATACACATCTATCTAGCAGGTTCTAGATGCAGCATGTCTTTTTTTGAAAGTTCCCAGGAAATGTATGAATGACCTAGAAGCATCTGCCAAATGTTGAATGAATGAATGTTAATGTAATATGAAATCAAAATTGACTTGATTGTCTTAATAGATGTTTCTGGTCTTAGTGTGTGGGTTTAATCAATGCAAGTTATTCCAAAGGGAAATGTATTTGTAATCAGAAATATTAATGATCTGTTGATCAGGTGGTGTACAGGGGAAACATGACTAAGCTGGTGCGCATCAGGAACCCGTGGGGTGAAGTGGAGTGGACGGGAGCCTGGAGTGACGAGTGAGAATCACACCAGTGTGCTGATTGATGCCTCATTGATGACTGTTCTGACGTGTGTGTTTGTGTGTGTTCAGCTCTCGGGAATGGGACAATGTGGACCGCTCTGTCCGAGGCAGATTACAGAACCGCAGTGAGGACGGAGAGTTCTGGTGAGTGGATCACGATCAGAGATTATCAGATGAGACCACACACACACACACACCTCTGCAATGACATATAAATGCCCATAAACTCTTCCTAACAACTAAGCAGCCCTAGAAACCCTCTAGCAACAACACAAAACCATATCAACAACCTATAAATGCCCTAAAAACTGTTCCTCATAAATGGACACCTTAGCAACCACATAGCGACACCCTGGAAACCACCTATCTCAGTAACCGCATAGCAATCCCCTAGAAACCACACAGAAAACCTTAGCAACGACTTTTAAATGCCCTATAAACCATTCAAAATACAACTACATGGCAAATCCCTAGCAGCCAACCACCCAACATAATGGCAACAAGTTTTGCATTGGCAAATACCACTCATTATCCTTTAAAAAAAATGCAAATCTCCCTACCAACACCCTATCAACAATCTATAAATTTCCTTTAAACCATTCAGAACATAGCAACGCCCCAGAAACCATTAACAACTCGGAACACTATAGCAACGACCAGTAAGTGCCATATAAGCCATTTAAAAAATAGCAATGCCCTAGAAACCACCTAACAACCAAACATAATACCCTATCAACAACTGTTAATGCCCTGTAAACCATTCAGAACATAGCAACGCCCTAGAAACCACCTAACAACCAAACAGAACACCGTATCAACAACCTATAAATGCCCTGTAAACCATTCAAAACATAGCAACGCCCTAGAAACCATCTAACAACCAAACAGAACACTGTATCAACAACCTATAAATGCCCTATAAACTGTTCAGAACAGAGCAACGCACTAGAAACCACCTAACAACCAAACAGAACACCCTATCAACAACCTATAAATGCCCTATAAACCATTCAGAACATAGCAACGCACTAGAAACCACCTAACAACCAAACAGAACACCCTATCAACAACCTATAAATGCCCTATAAAC